AGGGCCCAGTTCCTCTACAAGCATGCAGGCCACCACGTCAAGGTCACACGCCTTTACTCCAGGGACTTGCGTCGGAGACACGATAAGATAGCGTGAGATTGGACGTGGCGTGGACAGGGACCACTCAATAATTGCCACCACCCCCTCCCCTTCCAACCCCATTTATGCGTAGCTGACCTTTGGCTGTTTTCATTTACTCTGACGATGGCTTCTCGTGTGGAGCCGAAAGCTCAGGATACAACTATTGTTCCAGAGGTGGCTTCTCGTGTGGAGCCGAAAGCTCAGAATAAAACAATCGTTCCAGAGATCACGTCTTCCTCTTCTTTACAAGATTATGTTTATTTTCATATGCTAAAATAGAATGAAATTCGATCAACATAAACTTCTGTTGCGCAGGATACGAATGCTAATCCAGGGACATTCGACCTTATGTAGGCGGAATTTAACGAAAATGGAAATTCCTCCTCCTGTTGGTGGAATTTCATGGAAAAAATTAAAGTCAGGCCTCCGAACATTTAAAAGTAGTTTTTTTATTATAAGTCGACGGGATTTTTGAAGCCTCTAAAATCAATCTTGCCACAAAATGAAATCCGGCGCACTCAGTTGATAGCCTTATCGAACGAGGATGAATGAGTCGGAGGCCGAAGAACGTAAAGCGCTGGTTCAGTTTCTCCCACATCTGGTAACGACACAGTGAACGGAGCAAATACATAAAGTATCCCTTTAAAAGCTTTATTCTTCCATCGAAGGTTAGCAGTTACATTGGCAGGTGACTGTTAAACAGGCGCAAATGGCTCTTACTCTGATTTTAAGTTTGGATGATAACACTTATACATGCACAGTTGCTTGTCATTATGATGTAGCATGGATGTCCTTTAGACTGGGCTCTCTGATTCTACCTGTAAACATTTATTCCCGTTCAGCAACCAAGGCAGAAATAGCAAACGAACCACACACGTGGCTGCATACTCCGAATCTCAGTCGAAAAATGACGGGTCCAGTGGCCCGAATGGATATAGCGCTAAATTACTGAAGATGGCATCAGTCCAATGAGTGGACCCAAATCCCTGATCCCTGTTATACAAGACTGGTGGCAAAAGAGGGTTTTACGAATGAAAGAAGCGCATGAGTGTCGGCTCATCACTTTTGACAAAAAAGTGCGAAGCCCTTACACCTAAGCCCTAAAATGTCTACCTAAATCAAATAAACTGCTGTCTGGCAGTAATAAAATGATTTGAATTGAATACTATATCCTCATCGTGAAATGTACCTGCACAGTAATATAGTGGATTCTGAGTTTGAAGTATCCCTGGTTGGCAGTGGCCAAGGAACCCGAAATGACCGTGTCCGTGTCCTTAACCTCTGTCAGATACACATATCAATTGCAGAAAATGGTTGTCTCAGCTACATTTTCATCTCCTTTGATGATGTGTCTATTCAGATGCGTGGCAGCAACTGGAGAGAAAAGGCCCGTGAATATCGAGATCAAAAACCCCTGTGGTAAGGGATACCTGTCCTGCCGAGATGGGGAGTGCAAACCGCAAAGCGCCTTCTGTGATGGTCGAACAGACTGTGCTGACGCCTCTGACGAGTTCCCCGAGTTCTGTCCGGGTAGGCCGACATTATACTTTCGATACGCTGATTTTGAGTTTTTTTATGCACCTGTAATATTTGGTCACCTTCCGCGTTCTCCCAAGTGTCCTATTTACCCCCCCTTCTCCCTGATATTCTCTTCAGGAGCCCTAAAGGATGTTATTATCAAACCAGGCCGGATCGTGAAACCACCATGGACTCGATTCTCTTTCATCTGCACAGATCGCTTTGGTCGGCGGCCGACAGTAATCTTCGCGGACTCTCGCCTGCCTGTTGATGGCGACAGCCGTTTCCGCGTCGTCAGGTTGAACGAAAGTACTATTGAGGTCATTGCACCTCGTGGCCTGCGTGGACCCAAAGACAGCACAAACATAACGTAAGCCAGCATTTAAGCCTGCGGAAGTTAAGGTTTAACTCATGGGACTAACGATATGCAAATCTGAGAAACAGCTCTTGAAAACCAGACATGTACGAAAACAATAAAAGTAAGAATACTCTACTTGACAGGAAGCTTTCAGAAAGCAGTTACAGGGTTCTATGATTCGACCTCAACGCATAAGTTCTGGTGTTCGTCCCCCTTTTTAAAATTTGAGTGTTTCATTCATGCATATATACACAGAAGCGACACGGCATTAATCCATCCAGTCATATTTCATGGCGTCCACCTATTTTACTTATTGGCTGCCTCACTAGCTGTTTAGAGTAATCCATGCGTCTCCTCATCTTTCAGTAATTTTTTGAGTACCCCCATCCAAGTACAGAAGTGAACATGGTAGCCGCTAGCCCATATATCCGCTCCTGTCCAAAGGCATTAACTTGGCACGGCAGGTAAAGTCATGGACTGGCCTTGAGCGAGAGCATGCCTGTGCTGGCCTTGAAGTTGATTGGCCGGTCTGGATAGCCGTAGTCAATCGAAAAACAGTCTGCATGCAAGTATGCGCTAGAGGCACGGTGTTGCGGCAGGCGCTCGATCGCGGTGGAATCGACC